TCTTCTTAAGCTGTTTTGGCAGAGTCCGTTGGTGCTTAATTATAGGCTTTTGAAACCAACAGAGCAATTAGACATGTTCCTAATTGCATCACAAAGCTGGGAGGGCACCATTATGTTAAATGTTGCCTCTTGGCTGCTTTCATGTGTAACCTTTCCTTCTCTGTAGCCTAGAAATAATGCATGGGTGCCTAATCAATGGTTTTGAAGTCAACAGAGTTATTAAAATATATCTAAGAAGTTTTAAAATGTTGCTTTTGAAAATGATAACAGTTGATCCTTCATAGTTCATTATTTGTTTTCATATTTGATTTTGTAAAATAATGCACCATGGGAATTCTTTTATGAACTGCATTATGGAGTTAAGAATAATTGTTAACATTGTAGGCCGAATGCAAATAGAAACCATGTCAACATGCTTGATTCAATGTTTTTAGTGCATTTTCAGCATTTAACACACACACACACACACACAGATTGAGAGAGAGAGAGAGAGAGAGAGAGAGAGAAATGCCTTTTCATTGTTTTGCTAAGTTGTATCATATGAATATTTAAATGTTATGTTATAAGAAACTAAGGATGGATTTGACATGGACATAATGAAGAAGTATGGAGAAAAAAGGGTTACATTCATGAGAAATCTGGATCAGTAACATTTATTTAGCGAGGTAGTCCAGACAAGAAGCACACTCAGAAGAACTAGTTCTACTTTATTGTAAGGTCACATTAACAGAATCTGGCAAATCTGAAAGTACATTTTTCCTCTGTCACCTTTACTGCCCAAGAAACTAGGGAGGCTCTCTTCTGAAATGTTTGCCATTCTCACATTCCTGCTGTGGGCTAAGCCGCCTTTTATCTGACCATTGTCCTGGCTGAGCCTCTTCCCCTGTCTCCCAAGGTCATTCCCACATACCATTACAACTATCTTTCTTCTGACTGGATTTCAAAACACTATACCATATATTAACCCAATCTCTACTTTCTGTACAGCAAAATTTTCCATTTGGCTTGGTAAAATGTTACACAGAATTTAAACATAATGAAATGGTTTGGTCATCTGTATTGGCTCTCTGATTCAGCACGTCTTGGAAAACTTTCAAAGTCTGGGTTGAGCCATCTGGTGACCTCTTTGTCAGCAGTCTGTCATTTAGGCAAATTAATAGCATCTAGTAACATCATGAAAGGTCTGTCCTATTATAACCCATCCATGTTTTATGTTTTGCAATCTGATGCTATGGCAGCAAAGAGGGGAAAAATGCTAGGGTTTCGGCAAAAGGCAGGTTACTAGACCAACTTACAGATGCCCCAGAGAGTATCTCTTCTAGCTTTCACTGAAAGCATAGGGCTGAGACTTCTTACCACAGGATAAATCCCAGAAAATGCAGCATTTAAAGAATGTCCTACTTTGGAATAGGAGCAGTTTGGGATCTAATAGAAGATTTCTAATTGGATTTAAAATAGTACTTTTTTTCCTAACTCTTTTTCCAACTAAGTAAAATTTCTCTTACCCCTCTAAATTGAAAAAGGACACTTTGGGAAGACCACAAATGAATGTGTGAACAGACTTGTGAACTTGATTCTATTACTGATTCCCAATTCTGGGCTGAGCATGTGTTTAGATGCATCATGGACCTTAATTCTTAACATATCTCTGCCAGCCTGGGCCACTATTTTGCATCTACCAATTGGTGAATTGAGAGTTCTATTTTAAACCAAAAATTGATTCTGATGGATTTGGCCAGATTTTTTCCCACCATATCCCTGCATCAATAAACAAATTAATTTATTAGACAAAAACAATAAGCATTGGTAGCAATGTGTTGCTAGCATAACATAACACAGCAGGTGTGCAGTCCACAGTTATACACACATCAAAGATGTAATTCGCACATATCTCTTTCTACCTTGGTTAAATGTAAGCTCCAAAACCTAATTCAGACTGAATGTTCTTGATTCTGGTAGATTCCAGGAATACAGGCTCCTATCTGTGTTATCTCAGTTAAGGAATGCTATCCTTTCCGGGTGCTGGACTGACACTGGTAAACTTTATACTAACATCAAGTTAAGTTCTAGTTATTCATCAGATATTTACTGAGGCATTGTTGTATTTGGTTTGCTAATTTATTTTGTGATAAGATTCAGTCTAGCGACAGGAGCAACATGCACTTTGACTCTTTAAAAGTAGAAAGCATTGAAGCAAGCAAGGATGAGATGATATAATTAACTAACCCACCTGAAACTCAATAGAAATTCACCCAAGAGAAACTTTCATTTAAGCCTCCCATTTTTATTAAATTTTTGCTAATTGTGTGAAAATGCTGAGGTATTGGAAATTCTCTTAGGTATTGGACGATATGAAAACGCTCTCAGGTATTGGATGATTTGAACCAAAGAATCTATGGCAAATCACTGTGTATTGCTTATTGCACAAAACATTGAATTTTTAAAAATTAATTGTTTTAGGTCATTCTGGGGAGGTGAGGCATGTGACTGTAGAAGTGGGTGCAAATGAAATTGGTAACCAGTGCAAATCGGAAATTTTCTTAAACAACTCAACAGTGTAGACAATCACAGTCAGAAACCAAAGGAGGTCACAACAGTAGAGAAGTGACATTCGTAGAGAGTAAGGAAGATGAATATGGCGATATGCAAGCTTTCTTGCCAAGGTGACAAGGGGTAAAACATGTTTTAAGTCCAGAACATCCAGACAATGTTCAGAAATGCCTCAGATAGCACTTCCCTAATTCACTGAACTATAAGGAGGAGGAAGAGGGACAACAAAATTAGACTTGCAAGATTTTATTATTATAACCAATCTTAAAAAAAAAAGTAGTTTTAGCTTTCCTGTGGAGTTTTTTTGGTCTTAGTGGGGCTGACACATTTTAATGTTCCCTGTGCCAAGCACAAGTCTACATGACAAAACCTTTCTGTACTTATTTTTGCAGCTGAGCTCAGTACAGTATGATTATAAACCCTGACATGTGTACTATAATTTGTGGGCTGGGCAAGGAGAAATTTTAAACTATAATTGTGAAATTATTAAATTGTTTTATTTTTACTGAGATGAAGAGCATATAATAATGGAATACAGAACCATTTCCTTCCTGTCATTAAGCAATATATATCTCTTCAATGTAGCTAGAGGTCTAAACTATCTCTCTGCTTAGATGATAAATTGCACAAGAAGATGAATATGCATGAATAGCCATGACATTGAGCTAAAAATTTATGACAGGGCTGGTCAGCTCTTGAGAGACACAGAAGACCATGTTTTGGTTTCTCATTCTGATCTCAGTTATTAGGTGCTCACTTTCCTTCATCAAGTATGACTATATGTCGTTTTATTGAGCAATACATAAATAAGGATTTTGAAAATACTATATATTGCTAATTGTTATCCATTTATTGATTTCAGTCTGCCTTTGAAATGATCCTGTAGTTTAGATACATTTATTTAACCCTTTATTTATATAGCTGCCATATGTAGCAATGAAAATACAATCCCAAACAAGTAAAAATTCTGAACACTAAAAGTACCATTTACAAGGATGAAGTCTAAGTTGGCACCAAAAAGACTGTTGCCCCTCAGGGGCAGGCATGAAGAAGGACCCTTCTAATGGTTGCCAAGCTCAGGCATATTTGGTGAAGACCCTGGACCAAGACCAGTGAAAATCTTCAGGTTTAAATAAGTACATAAGGAAGAAGGTTTGTCTTTGGTAATCTGGTTTAATTACTGTATTTTGAACCTATCAAATTGCAGGTAGAACATTAATATATTTTAATTACATTATTAAATTGTCATGTGATGATGATAAAGCCTAAAATCACATTCAGTGGACTTTAATGTCCCTATTGCTGTGATGGATTATACTTAAAAGTTTAAGATGTGTTTCTTTAATCCAGTTTGGTAATGAAATATCATGCCTGTTTTCCATGTGAAACTAGCATAAGGAATAGACCAGTACCCCAAGGCCCACATTTATTCAAATCTTTGAAGAATAAACTAAGAGACACTGTTTCTGTGATGAAACAGAACAATGCTGATTCGTTTCACATTCATAGGAAAATCCATAAAGGCAGGTCATATAAGTTCAGTGCAAATGATAAAGTGCATAAAAATATTTGCCTTTTTATTATATAAGATCAACCTCATTATTTATGCCACAATTCCCATCATGTTGCTTGAGAATACTCCCTGTAATTAGTAGGAATAAGTGGGCATCTTTTTTTAAAAAAATTTAAAACTAAATACAAAAAACAAAGAAAATTGTAAAAGCAGAAAAAAACAGAAATAAGAGGAAACAAAAACACACAGGACATAATTTACAGACATATGTACATCAATAAATTGAAGCCATGATTCATTACAGTCATCCATAGCTGATCTGTATTAACCAATTCTGCAAACCAGTGAATAATTGGAGCCATATGTTTGTCTACCATGTTTGAGACAATGAAGTGCTAATGTAGTTCTAAAGCTTCCATAAGACCAATCTTTTTGTCTGATCTCATAGAGGAATATCCAAGTTTCAACAGAGACTGTTTTAACGCAACTCTTTAAGTATACAAAAAACAGGAAGAGACTACAATAGGCATTTACTCATTATATATTGGTATTCTGTTGAATATCCTTCCAACCTATAGGATCTGTATAGAAACATAATGCTAAATTACCTTTGATTAAACAAGGATAAATATAACTACAGTTTGCACAAAACCCAGCAATAGAGATTAAATATTACTGTCTATTCCAAGCCAGACCTCCCTCATCCAGATCAAGGGCAATGCTCAGCTGATGCCATATGTTTGTTACAAGAGCATTTCCCAACACTAACATAAAAAGATCATCTTTGCTTGCATAGATGTCTATGTAAACTAAAGGTCATCTAAACCTTTAGTTTACATAAACCCTTTAAAAAAATCTTAAAATTAGAGGGGAGAATGCCAAAGCATGCATAGTATTTATCATATTAAAAATTAGAATTCCTTGATTATAAACTTACCTTGATCATAAGAGCCTGAAACAATGATATGCTGTTTGTGATGAAATATTATATGAAGACATCAGATTGATTGGCTTTGATCAAAGGCCAATTTGGAAGAGATACATTACTAATTCAAAGGATAGAAACCCGCCAGGGAATTAGCAATGTCGTGAATTCTTTTGCAAGTATACTGTATACCTTGACAGAAAATAAATATAAAGTGATGGATTCCATCACAGCACACTTTTCAGAAAATAAAAACATTTTAGACAAAAGGCACAATATTTCTGATTCTTTTAAAAATCTCCCTGTACTTTTGAAGACTTGCTTGAGTAATTTGTTGCAGCACACTGAAAATGCACAGTAAAACATTCTCCAATTAAAGAAATAAAACATGCACAGGCAGCATTGCTGCAGAGACAAGCCAGCAAAGCAAGGCGTCTATGTCTGCCCATAAAAGCAAAGGATTGGGAAAGTTCGGCAGCTGGCTGAGCCTTCTAAGGGGCTTGGCAGTGGGCATCTTGCTGACACCAACAGGCTTTGTGCAAAGCCTCTTTTGAATGTATTACACAGCTCTCACAAGCAACAGCTGTACTGTTTTGATAGAGAGTAGGGTTGGGCCAAGTCCTGAAGGCAGGCTTTGATTTGACAAAATTCTGATCAAATCCCCCCTCCAAGCAGATTAAGGAACTGAAGCCAAAACCCACATTAACACAGCAAATTGAATCCGGTAGCTGCGAAGCCCTTCACAAGGTTGCAGATTCAATGGCTTTGTTACCATATATAGAGAAGGGGAGGAGGGGTTGATTGATGTGATTAATCATTAAACTTTCTGCCTGACAGAGCTCTTTTGGAGTGGCAAAGCTAACATTGCTTGGATTTCATTCACTTTTTCAGCTTTTAGCTTTAACTTTGTTCTTTCTTGTTCTGATGGAACGTTATAGTTCCATGCCGATCCTGCCAATGCAAGTGGGAATTCAGCTCAGCATGCTAAATATGGGCTTAGGGCTGACCTCGCTGTTAAATTCTGCTCATCTGGGGCTCATTTAAGTTGCTGAACAATGAGTGAATGGGTGCTCTTCTTCCAGCCAGGGAGACACCAAGGCTGTAACTGCCATTTTCTTGGTGCTAGCCTTTTCCCCTGTGGCTTGCCTATCTCTCTGCTGTTGTATATCTATGGGAGCTTGCTTCTGCTTTCTGCTAATCAACTTATTTCTAGCAAACTACAATCCTAAGACAACAGAATCTTGCCCAGACGAGGCCAACATACCTACCCGAAACCAGAAGAGGCCTGGCTTCCAACCAAAGATATGGATGAATTGGTAGTTTCCAGGAAGGGCTAAGATGGCAAACAGGTACGCCAACCCACTGGCATCCTACAGAAGACCTTGACCTAAGATTGCAAAGACAAAGGGCATTCTGCAATGTCATACCATGCCTGGCATACCCCCGCCCCTCCCAAAAAGGGAGAAGGAGGAAAAAGGCAGGAGAGTTTTGGAGATTTAGTTTTTAATTAAGTAGACCTATGGGGAGGGGATGTTGGTTCAACTGATGTAAGATAGGTACTTTGGTATCTTGTCCTCATACCAACTATCTTAGCTTCACTCCTACTTTCTTCATCTTAAAAGTGGTAAATACATAGCAGTGCAATCCTTAAAGGTATCTGGCTGAAACATGGCAGGGTTAATATCCTCTAAGTAGTCTATCTCCTGGTTTCAGTTTTTTGTGTGTAGGTGCCTTCAGTTTAGTGTTGACTCCTGGCAACTGTCTGGACTAGTCCCTGCAGTTTACTTGGCAAGGTTTTTCAGAAGTGGTTCACCCTTGCCTGCTTCCTAGGGCTGAGAGAGGTAGACTTAGGCTGGCTTAGTGCCTAAAGTAGAACTAAAATTCACGGTCTCCCAGTTTCTAGCCTGATGCCTTAACTACTATACCAAACTGGCTAAACTCAGCTACGCTGACGAAAACCAAAAAAAACCCTGCAAGCATTTTATTGTTTACCATAATAGCCTTTTTCAAATCAAATCTCGAAACCACTTGAATCAAATCAATTTGCCCTTGAACCTTGAAGCAGAAATTCAGTTACACCCTCTCCAATTCACCAGTTCTAATCAAATCAAGGCTGATTTGCACAAGCCTTGCTCACCTTGATGTACTGGTTCATCTATGGGAAACAGATTTTTGTTGTTGTTATAAATGATGTGCTTTTACATTCCAGCTCAGGGGAGATAAGGAAACCTTGCCTGAACTCTAAAGAAAACCAGAAAACAATATCCAATTTTCTTGAATATTTATACAATGCTTCTGTGAATGTCTGGATTTTTATTCTTAAAAATATATACTTTCAAAACAATAAATGCAGTTACATCAGCCTTTATTAAAAATGCAGTAATATCCAGTTGTCTTTGTGTAAAGATTTATTCAAACAGCAAATTCAGACTTATGCTATTTGCTAACTTTCTCAGTCCTGTAACATCTTTCATTCCTTTTTCTCTGTACATACAGTAACTCCATTCTTAGAAAAAACAATTTTTTGTGTGTATAATCATAAGAGATCACGCAGAATCAAACAATATAGCTTTAAAAAAATGAAGTAACTCTTCGGCAAACACCCCCCCCCAAACATTTTCTGCCAAGTCCTTGTGCAATGCCTTTAACTAATTATCAAACAATATAGCTTTAAAAAAATGAAGTAACTCTTCGGCAAACACCCCCCCCCAAACATTTTCTGCCAAGTCCTTGTGCAATGCCTTTAACTAATTATCAAACAATATAGCTTTAAAAAAATGAAGTAACTCTTCGGCAAACACCCCCCCCCAAACATTTTCTGCCAAGTCCTTGTGCAATGCCTTTAACTAATTTAGAGTGGAAAAACTGTAATATGGTTTTCATTAAGAGAAGAAAAATGGAGGAGGGGGGAAGCCACAGAATAGAAAGGAACCATTTTATACCAAGGAAACTCTATTCTGGTAAGCTGATGCTTTCCAAGGTCTCAATCAGTTTTTTTCCATACTTGCCCCGCACTAAGTCCACAGGCCTCTGAACTTCCAATCAGGCTTGAAAAGAAGAAGCTGGGGGAGGCTAACAAACCAGCAACATCTAGGGTGTATCTGCATTGTGGCCTTACACTGCTCCTGTCCTCTGCTGGTGCTGGTTGGACTCTAAGCTGCTTAAGAAACTTCTGGCTGGGCTGGAAAGGCAGCAACATGACAGGTGTTCAGTCCGGACTGCCAGCTACTGCTGTCCCCAGTTGGACAGTTCCTCTGCTGCTCTTCTGTGCCAGAAAAGCACTTGCCAATCACCTTCTCTTTCTTTAAATATGTTTGTATGTGAGGATACACACATGTGCATATGCACATACAAAATTAAATTAACTTTATAAGTTAAAGCCTCAAAATGCACATATATGTAGCAAACCCAACATCTTTCAAATAACCATCTCTTTCTTGCATTTCCCAGATTTGACTAAATCATGTCTGATGCAACTACTTATGATAGGAATCTCTCAGTAGTTGTAGTAGATATATTTGCCTGATGTATAGAATATCGCTGGTTCAAAACTTGGTAGAAAAGTATATTATTTTAAGTTAATTTTTCTTCCCTGAACTATCCAGCAAGTTTACCAGTGTACCGTTTCTTTGTTTTTCCCTCACTTGAGATAGATGACTTTTCAGAACTTATTCATTCCCGTGTGGGCTGGGTAGAAAAAAGAAAAAAGAAAGTTCCAGCATTTCAACAGTGCATTGATGGACTTATTAAAAATGAAAGAAAGGGGGAAAAATTAATTTTAATTGTGAGCTGCCCAGAGTCACCCATTGGGGGAGATGGGCAGCATACAAATTAAACAAACAAACAAACAAATAAAAATGCCCAGGGAAAAAGTGTATGGCTCAGAGAAAGAAGACTAGTGCTCATAGCAAGGGAAGCAAAGTAGCACAGCTGACTCACTTTCTAGAGAAGGGAGAGGTGCTCTTGCTTTGAAGCGGTGTTTTAATTAAGGCCTCAGTGAAGGAAAGCCCCATTGAAGATCTGCAAGCCCGGAACATTGTGAAACCAAACATATACTCTGATAAAAGCCAGCTGGGAGAACTTGCAAAAACTACCTTTATGGTGTGTGTGAGAAAGAGATGGAGAGAATAAATGCAGTTCAGGTGTATTAGGTCGGTCTATGTATACAGACTTTCAGCCTCTGATGAGAGATCACAAAAATGGAAGCCATAAACCACTGTTGTCTGTAGATGAGGCTCTGACTTAAGTAAAACTACACCCACTCCTCATTTAGCACTACTGTGCTTAGCAACTATTTGCAAATATGGTGGTAACAAACAGTAGTAAAAAATTCATTTTCTGACAAATGCACACATTTATGACCAAATGTCTGCACCTGACAACAATGCATGCTGGAGTAACACTGGTGTAGCTATGCGAGAGAACTTTATTTGAATGAGATGGCAGCAACCAGTGATCTTCACAGTCTCTCTCTCTCAGTCTTGTGTTCACTTAGTGACCATTTCACTTAACAGCCTCGTCATTGGAACAGAACTTGGTTGCTAAATGAGGAGTGATTGTACTGGGTATTATAGGACTTTTTAAATGTATTTACATAATCAATCTCAGGAAATATGCATTCTTATCCTTTGACTAGAACAGTTAGTATGTACAGGTAGTTCTTGGTTAACAACGGTAATTGGGTAACTGGGACTGGAATTTCCATTGCTAAGCGATGCGATCATAAAGCACAATGTCATGTGACCACATTGCTTGGTAATGGTATTCCTGGCACTCATTGTTGCCATTGTTAAGCAAGGATTGCGGGTCCTTAAGGAAGTCCCAGATGGCTTGCAAGCAGGCCAGCAGGCAGGTAAGTGGCTTCTGCTGGGTGAGAGAGGATGCATGGATGGCCTGCACAGCATGGTGTGAGTATGGCAGGGCCAGGAGTGGCTGCTGCAGGTGGAGGAGAGTGCGAGCGAGTTATCGGAGTGACTTGCGACCTTCCCTGCTGGCTTCCTCATTGACTTTGCTTGTGGGAAGCTGGCAGGGAAGGTTGCAAATCGTGATCACACGACCACAGGATGCTGCAACCATTGAAAGTGCAAGCTGGTTGCCCAGTGCCCAGATTGCGATCACGTGACTGCAAGGGTGCTGGAATGGCTGGAACTTCAAGGACAGGTCGTAAGTTCCACTTGTTCAGCGCCATCGCAACTTGGAACCGTTACTGAACAAGGGGTCATTAAACAAGGACTACCTGTAAGCACATACGACTAAAGGCAGTGAACCCAATTTGACTGTTGGTCAACTGCAGAATGCCCACTCATTGAAATCCTATATAAGAAGATTATTTGTTAGTTTGAACATTATTTTAATCTTGTTATGCTTTTATGTCAGCTTTACCAATTGAATTAATTGCTGGACCATAGTCACATGTTTTTGCAGTTGAGAGAACAAGTCTTCCCCCAACATACAAACTTCCTCTTTCTAAACAATTATCCCCAAAGTAGCACTTTACTTTTTATGATGTTTATATTGCTTTTTTCCC